GGATAACTTATGGAACAGAAAGCTATTTTCCACAAGACAGAGGTTGAAGGCCTGAAGGAACAGTTAAAGATCAACCAAGGAAAACTGCTCCAGAGGAACTCCAGGGAACAGGAGAGTAGTCACAAGATGCAATGTTTAGAGGAAGAGCTGGCCTCCAAACAGGCTGAGGCAGACCAGCTGATGTTCAAGATCAATGAACTGATGAGAATGAATGTGTCATTAGACAATGAGGTCATAAGTCTTAAGGTCAGTGTGGAGTCATTACAACAAGAAAAATATTTATCTGAACAAAAGGTAAAATCATTAAAAAGTGAGAGGGAGAACTGGAAACAGCAGCTTCAAAAAGCCAAGGAAGAATTAAACTTAAAGACAAGATCTGAACAGGATGTACAACGCAAATCTAAAAACCTGGAAGCAGAACTTCAGGAAGGTGGAATGGTGGTCGCGCAACTGCAGAAAACAGTAGATGAGCTTAAGAAGGTCAACATGGAGATGGAAGTCAACATGAAGAAGATGAGAGCTCAACTCGAGAAGATAACCATGGAAATTGGAATCAAAGACCAGCAAATCAACATATTCAAGTCTCAGGTGGATGGCACCAAATCTCAGGTGAAAATCATTGAGGAGGAGCTTCTGAAGAAATCTCAGATGTCCCACGAGCTTCAGATCAAACTGAGGGACTACAACGAGGAGGTGAAGAGAACAGCTGAACTCCAGCAGAAAAACAAAGCTATCAGCTTTAACCTCACCAACTATGAAAAGGAAATCATGAATCTGAAGTCTGAGCTTAGCTCTGTTGGCACTGAGAGGAATTTAGCCAATAAGAAAGTCCAAGAGCAAAAGGGTGAAGTGAATGATCTGAACATCTCACTGAAGAAAGCAATGGCAGAGCTGCAGAATGAGTCAAATGAGGGCCAGAGGTATCTGACTAAGGTAAAGGCATTAGAGGGTGAGCTTTTGCAATGCAAGCAGAGTATGAAAGGAATCACTGGAAGTTCTGAAATAATGACAGCAAATATGAAGCAGGAAATAATTGCCCTTCAAAGAGACAAGACAATGGCTGACCAAAAACGGGTTACCTTGAAAGCAGAACTCGAGGAGATGAGGTCTGCCCTGAGAAGCACAAAAGATGAATTAATTAAAGTGACCCAGGAAGGGAAAATCAGCCAGTCTAAAGTCAAAGAGTTCGAGGCAGATCTTCATAAGAGTATGTTGACAATAAAAGAAATGACTGCCCGCTCTGACAAATCCTCATCAAGTTTCAAACAGGAAATCATTGTCCTTCAGAGGGAGAGAAGCGCAGCCCAAGAGAAAACCCTTTCGTTGGCGTCTGATCTCACCATGCTCAAGGGAAAGCTGGAACAAGCCCAAAAGGAGGTCACACAAAAGCAAACAGAAAGTTCAGCCCTGCAGCTGATGTCGCAGATGCTGGAAGACCAACTTGAGAACTGTCAGCGGATACTAAAGGAAATGACAGTGAATATGAAGCAGGAAACTAGTGCCCTTCAAAAGGACAAGACAATGGCTCACCAAAAACTGGTTACCTTGAAAGCAGAACTCGAGGAGATGAGGTCTGCCCTGAGAAGCACAAAAGATGAATTAATTAAAGTGACCCAGGAAGGGAAAATCAGCCAGTCTAAAGTCAAAGAGTTCGAGGCAGATCTTCAGAAGAGCAGGTTGATAGTAAAAGAAGTCACTGCCCGTTCTGACAAATCCTCATCAACTTTCAAACAGGAAATCACTGTTCTTCAGAGGGAGAGAAGCGCAGCCCAAGAGAAAACCCTTTCTTTGGAATTTGACCTCACCATGCTCAAGGCAAAGCTGGAACAATCCCAAGAGGAGGTCAAGCGAAAGCAAATGGAAAGTTCAGCCCTGCAGCTGAAGTCTCAGAAGCTGGAAGACCAATTTAAGAACTGTAAGCGGATGCTGGAGGAAATTACAGTGAATATGAAGCAGGAAACTAGTGCCCTTCAAAAGGACAAGACAATGGCTGACCAAAAACTGGTTACCTTGGAAGCAGAACTCGAGGAGTTGAATTCTGCCCTGAGAAGAACAAAAGATGAATTAATCAAAGTGACCCAGGAAGGAAAAATCAGCAAGTCTAAATTGAAAGAGTTTGAGGCAGATCTTCAGAAGAGTAGGTTGAAAATTAAAGAAATCACCACCAGCTCTGACAAATCCTCATCAAGTTTCAAACAGGAAATAACTGTCCTTCAGAGGGAGAGAAGCGCAGCCCAAGAGAAAACACTTTCGTTGGTGTCTGATCTCACCATGCTCAAGGGAAAGCTGGAAGAAGCCGAAGAGGAGATCAAGCGAAAGCAAACGGAAAGTTCAGCCCTGCAGCTGAAGTCCCAGAAGCTGGAAGACCAACTTGAGAACTGTAAGCGGATGCTGGAGGAAAAGACAGTGAATACGAAGCAGGAAACTAGTGCCCTTCAAAAGGACAAGACAATGGCTGACCAAAAACGGGTTACCTTGGAAGCAGAACTCGAGGAGTTGAATTCTGCCTTGAGAAGAACAAACTATGAATTAATTAAAGTGACCCAGGAAGGGAAAATCAGCCAGTCTAAAGTCAAAGAGTTTGAGGCAGATCTTCAGAAGAGTAGGTTGAAAATGAAAGAAATCATCGCCAGCTCTGACAAATCATCATCAAGTTTCAAACAGGAAATCAATGTCCTTCAGAGGGAGAGAAGCGCAGCCCGAGAGAAAACCCTTTTGTTGGTGTCTGATCTCACCATGCTCAAGGGAAAGCTGGATAAGGCCGAAGAGGAGGTCAAGCAAAAGCAAACGGAAAGTTCAGCCCTGCATCTGAAGTCCCAGAAGCTGGAAGACCAACTTGAGAACTGTCAGCGGATGCTGGAGGAAAAGACAGTGAATATGAAGCAGGAAACTAGTGCCTTTCAAAAGGACAAGACAATGGCCAACCAAAAAGTGGTTACTTTGAAAGCAGAACTCGAGGAAATGAGTTCTGCCCTGAGAAGAACAAAAGATGAATTAATTAAAGTGACCCAGGAAGGGAAAATCAGCAAGTCTAAATTCAAAGAGTTTGAGGCAGATCTTCAGAAGAGTAGGTTGAAAATTAAAGAAATCACCACCAGCTCTGACAAATCATCATCAAGTTTCAAACAGGAAATAACTGTCCTTCAGAGGGAGAGAAGCGCAGCCCAAGAGAAAACACTTTCGTTGGTGTCTGATCTCACCATGCTCAAGGGAAAGCTGGAAGAAGCCGAAGAGGAGATCAAGCGAAAGCAAACGGAAAGTTCAGCCCTGCAGCTGAAGTCCCAGAAGCTGGAAGACCAACTTGAGAACTGTCAGCGGATGCTGGAGGAAAAGACAGTGAATACGAAGCAGGAAACTAGTGCCCTTCAAAAGGACAAGACAATGGTTCACCAAAAACTGGTTACCTTGGAAGCAGAACTCGAAGAGAGGAATTCTGCCCTGAGAAGAACAAAGATTGAATTAATCAAAGTGACCCAGGAAGGGAAAATCAGCCAGTCTAAAGTCAAAGAGTTTGAGGCAGATCTTCAGAAGAGTAGGTTGAAAATTAAAGAAATCACCACCAGCTCTGACAAATCCTCATCAAGTTTCAAACAGGAAATAACTGTCCTTCAGAGGGAGAGAAGCGCAGCCCAAGAGAAAACACTTTCGTTGGTGTCTGATCTCACCATGCTCAAGGGAAAGCTGGAAGAAGCCGAAGAGGAGATCAAGCGAAAGCAAACGGAAAGTTCAGCCCTGCAGCTGAAGTCCCAGAAGCTGGAAGACCAACTTGAGAACTGTCAGCGGATGCTGGAGGAAAAGACAGTGAATACGAAGCAGGAAACTAGTGCCGTTCAAAAGGACAAGACAATGGCTCACCAAAAACTGGTTACCTTGGAAGCAGAACTCGAAGAGAGGAATTCTGCCCTGAGAAGAACAAAATATGAATTAATCAAAGTGACCCAGGAAGGGAAAATCAGCCAGTCTAAAGTCAAAAAGTTTGAGGCAGACCTTCAGAAGAGTAGGTTGACAATAAAAGAAATCACCGCCAGCTATGACAAATCCTCATCAAGTTTCAAACAGAAAATAAATGTCCTTCAGAGGGAGAGAAGCGTAGCCCAAGAGAAAACCCTTTCGTTGGCATCTGACCTCACCATGCTCAAGGGAAAGCTGGAAGAAGCCGAAGAGGAGGTCAAGCGAAAGCAAATGGAAAGTTCAGCCCTGCAGCTGAAGTCCCAGAAGCTGGAAGACCAACTTGTGAACTGTCAACGGATGCTGGAAGACTTGAAAAGAAAACTTGAACTGCAAAAGCAGGCATATGAGAGACAGCTGCAGTTAGTGCAGACTGAGATGAGTCAAACGCTCACATTACAGGAGTCTCATATCAAACTGGAAATGGAGCAGAAATCCAGAGAGCATTCACACAGTACAGAATTAACTGAGAATAACACCAAGTTTTTCCAGCAAGAAATTACACAGTTGAAAACATTAAATGAGAGCACTTTAAAGTTAAAGCAGGATGCTCTACAACAAATAAATGAACTACATATTAAAATGGAGCAAGTGAAAAATGAGAGAACCACTATTAGCCATGACCTGCTGAATGCAAAATCTCAAATTGCTCAATTAGAAACAGAGAAAATGCAACTTAACTCTAGCATTACTCAGCTGCAAAACATCCATAAGGAAAACTCAAAAGATGTCACAAAGATCAAACAAATGTTGACAGACAGTGAGCAGAAACTAGGAATAAAGGAAAAGGAAGCAAGATCCCTCAATGAGCAGGTTGTTTCCTATGCCAAGGAGGTCCAAGGTCTTCAGGAAAAGGTCTTGAAGCTGGAGGTCACGATTAAGACTGAACATAGGACTGTAAAGGAAGTTGAGACTACAAGTCATAC